TAGATATAAATGGATAACACCATAGATTGTCATAGCCTGTTTTAAGATCAAACCTATTTTCTTTATAGTCAAACAGTGGTTCTAGTATAATGTCTATTGCATTAAGATATTAAGATCATTTAGCAAGTAAAAAACTTTTTGAATTTTTTTAAGATATTGTTTTTAGTTTTAAAAGTAAAAGGTAGTCTAAAAGAGCTTTAGTATCAGGTTTATTATGTTGCCAGCCAAGTATATTTCCTAATATTAAGTAAATAGAATGTTCATTTGATTTGGCATAGTGGTCATATATTGTTGCATCAGAGTAAATGATTATTGATAAAATATTTGCTTTGTCTGGAATTGTCTTTTTTGCCTTTTTCTACCACTTTCTGTTATATTGTTCATGATAAATCATTTCTTCTTTATGGTATAATGGAGTAAAATTAAAAATACAATGTTTAAATATATCTTCATTGCCAACAATTCTTTTATAGCATCAAAAATAAACCGATAGTTAAGATAATATATTTCTTCTTTATAAATCATAATCAGCACTTTTTTAAAAGAGATATATAGTACTATCATTTGATCTAAGAACTGATAGCCTTGTTTTACTGAAGTAGGTAAAACTAATTATCATCAGATATTTTTTTCACAAACCTAAGTATTTCACTTCCACATATATCTGATAAATTTCATTTGATAAGCAATTTCATAAAATCACCAAATTCTTCACTTGGAAAGTTTAGTTCTTCACCAGTTACTGGCTTAGTAACTTAAAAATTAAAGATGGCTCTACATTAAGTAATAAATGTTCTTTCTAAATATATATATATATATTTATTTAAGTTATATATATAATGCTGATCAAAATAAAGTTTATTTGTTATTTGTATAGAAGTTATACAAACAATAGCTTATTGTTCTTATTGTTTGTATAACTTCACTTGACCTTATATATAAATACTTACTGTTACTTGATTATTTATTTTTTCCATTTTTAAAATATCTTCTGTCTAACTTTCCAATTAGCCTTCGAGCTCACATTTACATATCCAGCAATTATCTATTATACCTTCATTATCTCCAAGTATTCCACCTTCATCATCTTCAAGCTGATTATCTATTTCTATTCTACTTTTGGCATCTCCAAGCTGACTTTCTATTTTATCTTCATCACCTCCAAGCTGACTATTTATTCCTATTTCATCTTTGTCATCTTCAAACTGACTATCTATTTCTATTTCATCATTGTTATCTCCAAGCTGACTATCTATTCCTATTTCACCTTCGTCACCTCCAAGCTAACTATCTATTCCTATTTTAACTTCATCATCTTCAAGTTGGACATCTAGTTTTATTAAACTTTCTTTTACAAGGTGGTCTTCATTTGTTTGACATAAAATATGCCTATTTTTCTCTTTTTCTTTAGTGATTTTCTATAGAAGTTTGTTAATAGTATCATTATGAATTTTTATATGATTTTGAAGTGAAGCTCGACAGAAAAATTCTCTTTTACACTTTTTACATTGAAAACTTAATTTTTTTTTAAAAAAAAGAGTACGTAATATTTATAATAAGAGTTAAATATGATTATACATAATCATGATTTCTTCTTATATGATTTTAATTCAATACACACTATTACATATCAATTATTATGACATTATCAAGCATATTATTATTTTTTTTTTAAAAAAATGATTTTTATAATAACAGAAATTTAATAGTTTGAAATATTTTAATTAGTGATTTGCCAGTCAACCAGAGAAGATCTGCAAATTTTTATAAGTAAATTTTACTATTGAGCCAAATGT